ATATCAAAATTAGGAATAGAAGTAATTTCTTATATATTTCTTTATCTCATAAGTAGAATGTTTAAATATAGGTTTAAAAACATTTTTCAACAATAACATAAATAAAGGAATTAAAAAAGATTTTAATCCACTTTATCTAGTTCTTTGTGAAGTATACTTGACTTTTGGTGCTTTCCTCACAGAAGAACTTCCGCTATAAAATGAAATAACATTGTAAAGTCGGAAACTGCCATCAGAGATTCTGGAGCTCATTGTCAGAGATCACAACATTCACGAATGATGGTCCGTAAATTATTGCATCTCGGCGTCAGTAGCAATAAAACGATCAACGAGAGACAAAGGAACATATAAAGCGAGCCTTACTTCTCTCAGTGCACAATAGATGAAGCTGCATAAGCTCGTACAGGTAACGAGCGATGGTGTCGTCGCCAATTGATGATAGCAACATAAAGAAAGAAAAGAAGGAAAAGAATAAATATTAATTATTATTGCAAGAGCAGTTTTATTAGTTTTCCTGTGTGTGCTTATTCAAAAATATATTTCTATTGTATTGGACGAGAGTTGCTAATCTATTCCTTATTAAAAATTTGAGAATTGACTTTACATAATGCTCTAAATAAAAAAAATATAAATTTTTTTATTTGTCTAAATGAGATAATCTGTTATGCGATCATAAGAGATTCTGCAAATATTTCTATGTTTTGATTGTAATTAAATTTTAAAACAATATGAGCATAAATAAACTTGACTAATTATAAGAAAATTTTGATATTTTGATATTTTTACCATAAAAGTAATACATTTAAATAAATTACCAATGAAATTATGAGATGCAATAAAACATGAGCGTGCATCTACATTATCATAATTCAAAAATGTCGAACAACTCAATTCATTAAATTTTTAAATGCGGCGAACGAATTGTTCTTCTTGACAAGAGAATAAAAGTGAACAAAGCGACAGAGTTTTATAATGCATAACGAACGAAGATTCAAATTAAATGTTTCAATTATCAATTGTCTATTAAAGTGAAATGAATATAATAGGCAAATGTAGAATCTCTTAATAAGTTTCCAAGGAAATCCATGCATTGGTTTTTCTAAAACTTCAAAAAAAACTTTTAAATCCAAATTTTAATAATAGTTGCATTTAAATACAAAGAACTTTATTATAAAAAATTCGGATATTTGCGTTTACTATTGTGCAGGTAGTACGAGAAGTATGACAAGTTTTATTTATTGCTAATGTTCGACAATTGTTAATAGATTGTACAAAGTGTATTAGATTAATTCGAACATACGATCGTTGCTCAGTCAATGTAAGAGTTTTCACGAGATAATTATTTCGACGGTGGCAAACGATTTCGTTTGAGACGTATGATACGTATTTAATCGATTGATCAATTTATTGGAATGATGTAGAAAATATCGATTGAAGAAATTAAGATGCGAAACAAGAAGACGAGTCGTCACGGTTACCGATAATAAGTCTGGAAAATCGAAATGCTGGATAGGGGGAGGTCTTTAAAAAAAAGCGGTTGGAGGAATTTGATGACAGGTGGGGGCGGTGATTCGCATTTACCGAAGGTGCTAGCTGAGTTGGCACTTGATAAGAACAGCGATTCAACATCAGACTGGTGCTGTCAACGTGCCATCATCGGGACTTTCGATTATTCGTCGTGGTCAGTATCAATGACAAATAGTGGCTCCTTTTCGGGAAACATGATTAATTGTTGAGTAATCGCTTCTTAGGAATTAAAAATTCAACTAGATTTTTTAACATTGTCAGGTAAATTAGTATACAAACAGTAAAAAATTAGGAATTTTGTTGAGAAAATTAGGAATTCTGACTTGGTGTTAAATTTAGATCATATTTGCTGCGAAACAAAGAAGAAGATTTGAAAAGGACGAAGAAGTGACACTCTGGCGGCGATGTTGGTTCGTGCGCCTTACACTTTTCTTTTCATTCTTGCGGTAGGTTACTTTCTTGCGCTCTATTTATATATAAGTGAGTTATTTAAAAGTAATGCAAATGTAAAATTTAATTTAGAGCAGAATATTGTTTTATTATAAATTATTATTGAGAATATATACTTCACAATATAATAATTGATTTTAAAAAATTAGCAGAGTAAACAAAAATATGAATAATTTTAACTCACTATTTAAAAAATTGCGTAGAATTCCTCTTGTATATAAAAAGAAAAGGTGTTATTAAAGCAAAAAGAAAACAGAATATTATCAAAGCAAAAAGTAAAAGTATTTTTAATTAAGAATATTACATTCTATGTTTAACGGATCGTTCTATTTATTTTGTCGAATTAATTAATTGTAGCTAGTTATATTTCTTATATATATA